ATCAAGTGCTGGTCACACGCAGCTACCACAGCGCTGACTGCGACACCGACCACTCCCTCGTCGCAAGCAAGGTGCGCCTCCTTCCCAGACGTGCCCAGCACTCCAAACAGAAGCCCCGACCCCGTATAAACATAGCCAGAACAAACAAACCTGAACTGCAGGAACACTTCGCCATAGCCATCGACGAAGCCCTGGAGGGCTGCCCAACCGACAGCGCAACTGAACGGTGGAACCATATACGCGAGGCTGTGTTCCAGACTGCCCTGGACACCTTTGGTAGAAGAGAGAGGAAGAGCACTGACTGGTTTGAGGCAGGAGTCGCTAAACTGGAGCCCGCCATCGCTGCTAAGCGAGCCGCCCTACTTGCTCACAAGAAAGATCCTTCCACAAAGACACTCGTAGCACTCCGTGCTGCTCGAAGTGACACACAGAAGATCGCCAGGCGCTGTGCCAATGATTATTGGTTAAATCTCTGCCGCAACATCCAACTCTCCGCAGACCTAGGCAACATGCGAGGGATGTACGAGGGCATGAAGAAGGCTTTTGGCCCAAGTCCCGTCAAAACAGCCCCACTCAAAACAGCCGAGGGTGAGCTCATCAAAGACCGCTGCAAACAAATGAAGAGGTGGGCTGAACACTATCAAGAGCTCTACTCAAGGGAAACCACCATCACCAGCACAGCCCCTGAGAACACTCAATCACTGTCTCCTATGGTCGAGCTCGACACACCACCCACCATAGAAGAGCTCAGCAAGGCTGTTGACAATCTAGCCAACGGCAAAGCACCAGGCAGTGACAACATTCCTCCTGAGGTAATCAAGGCCGCAAAAGGGAGCTCCCTCCTACAACACCTTCATGAGCTACTAATGCAGTGTTGGGAGGAAGGAGCGGTGCCCAAAGACATGCGTGACACCATGATCATCACGCTCTACAAGAATAAGGGGGAACGGAGCGACTGCAACAACTACCGTGGCATTTCGCTCCTCAGCATTGTCGGCAAAGCATTTGCAAAGCATTGGTCGTGTCCTTCCATCAAGACATGAGTGGGACCGTTCAGTTCGACGGATCATGCTCAGAACCCTTCGCAATCAAAAATGGCGTGAAGCAGGGATGCGTCCTTGCCCCAACCCTTTTCGGCATCTTTTTCTCCCTGCTCCTGTCCTACGCCTTCCGAGACTCTGACGACGGCGTCAGAGCAACGGAGGTCTCTTCAACTTAGCACGCCTACGGGCAAAGACAAAAATACAGAGGGTGCTCGTTAGGGAGCTACTTTTTGCCGATGATGCTGGCCTTGTCGCCCACACTGAAGCAGCACTGCAGCGACTCATCGACCGCTTTTCAACCTCCTGTGCAGAATTTGGTCTCACTATCAGCCTGAGGAAGACTCAGGTCATGGGCCAAGACGTCAGTAGTGCACCCAGCATCTCCATCGGTGATCACACTCTCGAGGTGGTGGACAAGTTCATCTATCTCGGGTCTACCATCTCCAGCAACCTCTCCCTTGATGCAGAGCTGAACACCAGGATCGGCAAGGCAGCTACCACGATGGCCCGTCTGACGAAGCGAGTGTGGGATAACACCATGCTCACCACCAACACCAAGATGAGAGTCTATCAGGCATGCGTGTTGAGCACTCTCCTTTATGGAAGTGAAACATGGACACTCTACTCCGTCCAGGAACGCAGGCTGAACACCTTCCACCTACGCTGCCTTCGTAGACTGCTCGGTATCACTTGGCAGGACCGCGTCACCAACATCGACGTCCTGGCCAAGGCAGGGATGCCCAGCATGTTCACCATCTTGTCCCAGAGACGTCTGCGTTGGCTAGGCCATGTCACCCGAATGGATGACGGCCGCATCCCTAAAGACATATTGTTTGGGGAGCTGGCCACTGGCACTAGATCCACAGGACGCCCGGCCCTCCGTTACAAGGACGTATGTAAGCGCGACCTGAAGGCTGGTGGCTTCAACCCCTCTGACCTGGAGATAGCCGCCACGAACCGCTCCGGCTGGCGGTCCACCACCCGGGATATCGTCAAGGCGGCAGAGGATATGAGAGACGCCCGATGGGGAGAGAGGCGTCTCCGCAAGCAACTGTGGCTGCAATCGGCCCCACCACATACACGGGAGCCGGCCTTCACTTGCAGCAGATGCGGCAGACCATGCGGTTCTCGTATCGGCCTGTACAGCCACAGCCGACGTTGCAGCTCCCCTATTTAGACCCTCAGCGCAGTTAGCCATGATCTCACGAGATCGACGGAGCAAACAAAAAAAAATATATAATATATATATATATAATATATATAATATATATATATATATATATATATATATATATATATATATATATATATAACATATATATATAATATATATATATATATATATATATATATATATATATATATATATATATAATATATATATATATAATATATATATATATATATATATATATATATATATATATATAATATATATATATAATATATATATAATATGTATATATATAACATACAGTGGCGTAGGAAGGGTATATGGCGCCCGGGGCCAATGGGCAATTACGCGCCCCCAACCCTCTGGGAAGAAAAGAAAAGAGAAAGAATTTTTTTATTATGGTCCAACGAAAACACTTTATTATGGTGTCTAATGACACATTACATCTTTCTTACTTTCATAACTGAAAAGTCGTGAATGTTTTGCTCGGTGTCTATCTCTCCGACTTCCCGCTCTATAGAGAGGATGGCCAAATTGCTCAATCTAGTTAGACTCATAGATGATCTAAGGTAAGTTTTAATAAGTTTTAGCTTCGAAAAGCTCCGTTCGCAGCTTGCGACGGATACGCAAATCGTGAGGCAAATGCGAAGTGAGATTGTAAGATTTGGCAGTGACTCTACCAGAGCCCACTTCACAATCCATTTTAACAGTTGAAGGACATCCCCGTTTCTTGGGTCATCGAGTTATACGTTGCCGATCAATTTGGAAACTATGCATGAGCCTCCGCAACCGTTTTACTTCTTCAATGAGACATTCAGGCATAACTTCACCGTAAAGTAGAGAAAAAATTTGGATCTGCTTATCAATTCGTTCGTCATTTCGCTCATTTAACAAGTGAGACGATTGCATAAAGCCAAAGCGATCGCTTATATCTCTTAGATTGCATGAACGTTTTTCGACTTCCGCTAATAAACGATCCACGATTTCTAAAAGTTCTCTGCAAGTTTCCTGTTTCACCGTCAATCCATCGTCACGAACTTGCTCCCCGGGCATTCTTCGCTGCCGTCTTACTCTACGGTCTACCCTGATGCCCTTGTCGTCACAGAAACTGAGCTGCTTCGCTAGAATTGGAGACCAATGCATCGCGTTCATCAGTGAAATACACGGATAACGAAGACATTTTTGTCGCACACTGATCTAAACAAAGCCCCCTTTTCTGCAGGTATTGTTGAGCGTAGTTGATTTCCTTTAGTACTGGCTCCCAAAAGAACAAATATGCTATGAATGTGTATGACATGGTGCACGTCAGCAGAGCGCCAGCATCGCCTTTCGTGGCTAGATTTTCAGATGCCCCATCTCTCAACTCTTCCAGGGCAGTAGTGACTTGGTCCAAATTACCTTTCAGAGCAGAGACAGCATCGTGTTTAGCACTCCATCGGGTATCAGAATCAGATACCCTTTTGACAGTCAACTTGGTGTGTTTCTTCAGCACATCCCATCTATGAGTTGAAGACGAAAAATAAACAAATATTCTCTCTATTGTTCCAAAGAAAGTTACAGCATTTGGATTCATTCCGGCGGCATGGACTCCAGCTAAATTCAAGGAATGGTTGTTGCAAGGCATGAAAATCGCGTGCTGGTTGATATCGAGAATTCTGCGTTGAACACCACGATGGATACCTGCCAAGGGCAGAATCACAGTTTGTTTTAGCTTCAAAAGAGGGGTAAAGGGATGTTTTTTGTCATAATAGAATAGTATCCCAACCCGGCATGGTGTTTGGGAAGTTGCGGGGATTGGTGCTCTAGGCACTGAATTTTTTTTTTTTTTGGGGGGGGGGAATTTTTTTTTTATTTCAGTTTTTGTGCCAATCGGGCCTACGTTAGCTTTTAGGCAGGTTTAGGGCCATAAAACAGTTTTTTGGCAGGGTTTAGGGCCCAACTAACTTACACTTCTATGACACTGGGCTTTGGATTGAATTTGGGATGATTTTCAAGATTTATCACAGGTCCACACAGATCCACATGTTAAGATCGACAACTTAACGACAACAAAACCACAAATTATACTATACAGATTTATAGCACTAGTTGGAGGTACGCCCACTCCCCAAAGGAGTGGGCTTACGTAAACTAAATACTGTAGGCCTATTATCGCTCGCCTTGTCGCCCACCCTATTTTCAGATTAGGTCGGATATTAGGCCTACCACTCACTCAACAATCTGTACCGTATATTCTGTGACAAAACGTTTCGATCTATAGTCCAACAGAATGATAATTACCTGTCAGGCTGCCAGCCGAATGAGCCGATTACATTTTTCCCGCGCAACTGTGTAGCTTGCGAGACACACTGGAGTGGAAAGCAGTCTGCCTTCCGCCGTCAGCCTTCATCACCACTCACCAGTTGGCGACCTGGTGGACCGGGTGAGAATAAAGGGTGTACCTATGGGGAATGACCCAACGAGGATATTGTGCCCGTCAGACACACATAATATTTATAAGTATATAGTCCAAACCGAATGAGAGATAATAAGTTGTCAAAAATGGGTACTCAGGCCGTTTCTTATATATGCCTATTCTGTTCATTAATACATTTGGTCAAGATTAAATTTTTAAAATTCATAAGTCCCTGTTTCGGATTTGGCGCCCCCAGGGAAGTGGCCCGGGGCTTTCGCCCCGCACCCCCCCTGATAACATATATATATACAATATATATATATATATATATATATATATATATATATATACAATATATATATAATATATATATATAATATATATATAT